TTGGTGCAGGCAACACTAGTGTGTGTTGGTGCAGGCAACACTAGTGTGTGTTGGTGCAGGCAACACTAGTGTGTGTTGGTGCAGGCAACATAGTGTGTGTTGGTGCAGGCAACACGAGTGTTGTGTTGGTGCAGGCAACACTAGTGTGTGTTGGTGCAGCCAACGCTACTGTGTTGGTGCAGCCAACGCTATTGTGTGTTGGTGCAGGCAACGCTAGTGTGTGTTGGTGCAGGCAACACCAGTGTGTGTTGATGCAGGCAACACCAGTGTGTGTTGATGCAGGCAACACCAGTGTGTGTTGGTGCAGGCAAACCATTTGTGTGTTGGGTGCAGGCAACACCAGTGTGTGTTGGTGCAGGCAACACTACAGTGTGTTGGTGCAGGCAACACTAGTGTGTTGGTGCAGGCAACACTACAGTGTGTTGGTGCAGGCAACACTACAGTGTGTTGGTGCAGGCAACACTAGTGTGTTGATGCAGGCAACACTAGTGTGTGTTGGTGCAGGCAACACAATGATAAGATTGATATCTACATACACTAGGCACTGTGTTGGCGCAGGCAACACAACACTACGATATATACACACACTATACTGTGTGTTAATACAGGCAACACAATGCTACGTCTGATATCTACATACACTAGACACTGTAGGTGCAGGCAACACACTGCTACGATTCATACAAGTATCGAACAGTAAACCAGAGTGAAGAGTGTTGATAAGAGCAACATACATTGAAGTGTTAAGAAGGGCAAGAGTGCACAAGGTATTCAAACTGGAGACAGCAGATGAGGTAATCAGTCCCTGAGGATACCCATAATTTGGATCAACGGCATGAAACTCCGGAGCAAGAGATGCAACACAAATGCAAGCACAGTGGCATCATAGGGTTACAGAGAACGCGTTCACACCTTCCTCAGAGATAGTGAACATTAAAACAAATTTCCTTAACTCTAGAAACACATACCTCTAGAAATAGTCAACGTGTGGTATACCTGGATATGCTGTGCTCAGTGAAGACAAATCTTAAGACTGAATCGTTTCTAGATGTGTTCCAAATGTGCCACTGTGAGCACCTTTGTTCCTAGCTGTGCTCCAAATGTGCCATTAATGTGAACATTGTTCCTAGATTTGTTCCAAAGGTGCCACTAATGTGAACACCATTGTTAATAGATGTGCTCCAAAGGTGCCACTAATGTGAACACACTACAGTGTTCACTGACGTTGTTCAATACGATATGGTTTACATTCGAAGTTAATTTGTCAAGACTAAACCAACTGTTACTATTATAGTACTAATACTACTAGCAGTAGTAACAGTAATACCAGTAGTAGTAGTATTAATACCAGTAGCAGTAATAATCTTAGTAATACTAGTAGTAATACCAGTAATAGTAATACCAGTAATACTAGTAGTAATACCAGTAATAGTAATATACTAGTAATACTAGTAGTAATACCAGTAGTAGTAGTATTGGTAATACCAGTAGTAGTGGTAATACGAGCAGTAGTAGTAATAATACGAGCACTAGTAGTAATACCAGTAGTAGTAGTGGTAATACGAGCAGTAGTAGTAATACCAGTAGTAGTAATAATACCAGTAGTAGTAGTGGTAATACGAGCAGTAGTAGTAATAACAGTAGTAGTAGTAATACCAATAGTTGTAGTAATACCAGTAGTAGTAGTAGTAATACCAGTAGTAGTAGTAGTAATACCAGAAGTAGTAGTAGTAATACCAGTAGTAGTAGTAATACCAGTAGTAGTAGTAGTAATACCAGTAGTAGTAATACCAGTAGTAGTAGTAGTAATACCAGTAGTACTAGTAGTAGTAATACCAGTAGTAGTAGTAATACCAGTAGTAGTAATAATAATACCAGTAGTAGAAAGTAGAAATACGTATAAGTTTGTAGTAATACCAGTAGTAGTAGTACTACCAGTAGTAGTAGCAATACCAGTAGTAGTAGTAGTTTACCAGTAGCAGTAGTAATACCAGTAGTAGTAATACCAGTAGTAGTAGTAACACCAGTAATAGTAGTAGTAGTAATACCAGTAGTAGTAATACTAGTAGTAGTAATAATACCAGTAGTAGTAGTGGTAATACGAGCAGTAGTAGTAATACCAGTAGTAGTAATAATACCAGTAGTAGTAGTGGTAATACGAGCAGTAGTAGTAATACCAGTAGTAGTAGTAATACCAATAGTAGTAGTAATACCAGTATTAGTAGTAATAATACCAGTAGTAGTAGTAATACCAGAAGTAGTAGTAGTAATACCAGTAGTAGTAGTAATAATACCAGTAGTAGTAGTAGTAATACCAGTAGTAGTAATACCAGTAGTAGTAATAATACCAGTAGTAGTAGTGGTAATATGAGCAGTAGTAGTAATACCAGTAGTAGTAATAATACCAGTAGTAGTAGTGGTAATACGAGCAGTAGTAGTAATACCAGTAGTAGTAGTAATACCAATAGTAGTAGTAATACCAGTAGTAGTAGTAGTAATACCAGTAGTAGCAATAATACCAGAAGTAGTAGTAGTAATACCAGTAGTAGTAGTAATAATACCAGTAGTAGTAGTAGTAATACCAGTAGTAGTAGTAATACCAGTAGTAGTAGTAATACCAGTAGTAGTAGCAATACCAGTAGTAGTAGTATACCAGTAGCAGTAGTAATACCAGTAGTAGTAAAAACCAGTAGTAGTAGTAATACCAGTAGTAGTAATACCAGTAGTAGTAATACCAGTAGTAGTAATAATACCAGTAGTAGTAGTGGTAATACGAGCAGTAGTAGTAATACCAGTAGTAGTAATAATACCAGTAGTAGTAATACCAGTAGTAGTAGTAATACCAATAGTAGTAGTAATACCAGTAGTAGTAGTAGTAATAATACCAGTAGTAGTAGTAATACCAGAAGTAGTAGTAGTAATACCAGTAGTAGTAGTAATAATACCAGTAGTAGTAGTAGTAATACCAGTAGTAGTAATACCAGTAGTAGTAATAATACCAGTAGTAGTAGTGGTAATACGAGCAGTAGTAGTAATACCAGTAGTAATAATACCAGTAGTAGTAGTAATATCAGTAGTATTATTATTATAATCAAGGGGGAAGCGCTAAACCCGGAGGATTATACAGCGCCTGGGGGGGGATGTGGAAGGCATTCAGGCTTAATTCGGGGAACTGGAGCACAGATCCAATTGCCTAAATCAAGAGCCCCTCACCAACATCAAGGAACCTTCCTTGAGGGGAATATCAGTAGTAGTAGTAGTAATACCAGTAGTAGTAATACCAGTAGTATTAGTAGTAATACCAGTAGTAGTAGTAGTAATACCAGTAGTAGTAATACCAGTAGTAGCAATACCAGTAGTAGTAGCAATACCAGTAGTAGTAGTATACCAGTAGCAGTAGTAATACCAGTATAGTAATACCGTAGTAGTAATATCATAGTAGTATTTAGTAGTTAATACAAGTAGTATTAGTAGTAATACCAGTAGTAGTAATACCAGTAGTAGTAATACCAGTAGTAGTAATACTAGTAGTAGTAATACCAGTAGTAGTAATACCAGTAGTAGTAGTAGTAATACCAGTTGTAGTAGTAGTAATACCAGTAGTATTAGTAATACCAGTAGTATTAGTAATACCAGTAGTAGTAATACCAGTAGTAGTACCAGAAGTAATACCAGTAGTAGTAATACCAGTAGTAGTAAAACCAGTAGTAGTAGTAATACCAGTAGTAGCAGTAATACCAGTAGTAGTAGTAATACCAGTAGTAGTAGTAATACCATTAGTAGTAATACCAGTAGTAGTAGTAATACCAGTAGTAGTAACACCAGTAGTAGTAGTAATAATACCAGTAGCAGTAGTAATAATACCAGTAGTAGTATTAGTAATACCAGTAGTAGTAGTAGTAATACCAGTAGTAGTAGTAATACCAGTAGTAGTAGTAATACCAGTAGTAGTAATACCAGTAGTAGTAATACCAGTAGTAATAATACCAGTAGTAGTAGTAGTAATACCAGTAGTAGTAGTGGTAATAAGAGTAGTAGTAATACCTGTAGTAGTAGTAATACCGGTAGTAGTAGTAATACCAGTAGTAGTAGTAGTAATACCAGTAGTAGTAATACCAGTAGTAGTATTAATACCAGTAGTAGTATTAATACCAGTAGTAGTAGTAGTAGTAATACCAGTAATAGTAGTAATACCAGTAGTAGTAGTAACACCAGCAGTAGTAGTAATACCAGTAGTAGTAGTGGTAATACCAGCAGTAGTAGTAATACCAGCAGCAGTAATAATACCAGTAGTAGCAGTGGTAATACCAGTAATAGTAATACTACTACTAATACCAGTAGTAGTAGTGGTAATACCCGTAGTATTAATACTACTACTAGCAGTAGTGATACCGGTAGTAGTAGTGGTAATACCAGTAGTATTAATACTACTAGTAGTAATACCAGTAGTAGTAATACCAGTAGTAGTAATACTAGTGGTAGTAATAATAGTAATACTACTAGAAGTAGTAACAGTAGCAATACTAGTAATAATATCAGTAGTAATACTAGTAAAACACTAGTAATAGAACTAATACTACTAGTAATAATACTAGTAGTACTAATACGAGTAGCAGAAGTATTAGTAGTAGTAATAATAATGCTAGTAGTATTACTAGTAATAATACTACTAGTAGTAATCTACTAGTACTAGTTATAATCTACTACTACTAGTAGTAGTAGTAGCATGGGTTACACAGAAGGGAATCAGGTTAAATCCAAGGGGAATACAAGTTGAATTCCTTTGATCAAAAGCCTCTCTCTCCAACACCAAGGGGTTCATGGAAACTGTCTTGTGCTATCTATGTCTTCCCCATGACTCTCTCCCTCTCCCTCTCCCTCTCTCTCTCTCACTCAGACCGGCCCCTCCCATGTCTGATGGGTTTGCGCTTGCGTGCGTGAGTGGTAGCAACAGAGGCGGTGGGGTATATAAAGGAGGCTGGGCCGGGTGTCCAGCCACCACACCGGACGTAGAACGGGAGACTCATCATTCGCTCCTGTCAAGCCTCGTCGGTGCACTCACAAGCTCCCCTTTCAACCTTCTCAACGCAGTCAACATGGTGAGTAGCTGATACTGCAATAAACAGACCTCGACGGTACACCCTTCACAATATACACACAGGTGTATGCCTCTCGGTGTGTGGATACACCAAGAGGTTACTTAAATCCATTTTTTAAGGGATTTAAGTATACTTATTTAGTGGTGAACAAGTTTTACGTAGGCTTAATGACCCGACTGTAGTTGACAGGCTTTAAACCCCATTAACCAACCTTTCACATCTGGTTTGTCAGAATCTAATCGGAGAGGCTTTTCGCCATACTGACCCACTTAGTGAGGCTTTTCGTCATATTGACCCACTTAGCGAGGCTTTTGGTCACATGACCGAGGCTTTCAGCTGGGTTACCGATCCAACCAGTAAAAACATTAACATGTACATTACAATACCAGATTTTCCACCGAACAGTCTCAGGATTAAGTTTGTTGGTGCGAGCAGTGATGACGTGACATTATAGGGTTATAATACTGCTGGAGATGCAACTACCTCCCACCTTCTATTTACTGTCTTAACAGCGACAAAATCTGTAAGCGTTGGTTTTGTCATCTTACTGTCTTAACAGGGACACAATCTCTAAGTATGGGTTGTCCTGTCATCTGAATATCTTAAACAGACTTGTCCCAGTCTTTGTGCAATACTGTGTCACAAGTCGCCTTCCAGTCTAAAAAAAAAAAATATACAATCCACCAAGCCCTCTTTCTCCTTCCTGTGTTCGCACAGATGGTAATGCCGGTAGACAGCTGTGTTTTATCAACCTTGGTGTTGGGGGACCCTGACTGCCACTGTCCTGTGTTAATACTACATACTTTACACTGATCTAAGCATATACTGTACACATAGCATTGTACACTTTGTACACATAACTATAATATCCAGATTAACAAAGACCTTGCCTTTTAAAACAATACTTGTATGTGAACCGGGGCTAGTCAGGGACAAAATAGCAGTTAAGTATAAAATCATGGTACTCTAAATGCATGACAATGGTAGACAAAAGTGAATAACAGAGACGGAAAAGAGAAAGAGAGAGGGGTGGGGAAGGGGAGAAAGAGAGAGAGAGAGAGAGAGAGAGGGGGGTGTGGATGGGGAAAGGGGACTCAGGACTAATGGTAAAATCAATGAAGGGAGAAGTGGGTTCCTCCCTCCCCCAACAATCGGACCCGCCCTGTTTACAATAACACTAAGAGGGTACAGAGTGCACTCACACAGCTGTATTCACTTGTGTGTTTGCCGGCCTTGAATCCCCTGCTCCTAGTCTCTAATCCTGGTTCCTAGTCTCTAATCCTGGTTCCTAGTCTATAATCCCAGTTCCTAGCCTCGATTCACTGTTCTTTGCCTCAGTTCCCTTGTTCGTAGCTTCATTTCTCTGTTCCTAACCTCAATTCTGTTTCTAGCTTCCATTCCCTGTTCCTAGCCTCAATCTCCATGTTCCTAGTCTCAACCCCCATGTTCCTAGCCTCAATCCCCATGTTCCGAACCTCAACCCCCATGTTCCTAACCTCAATCCCCATGTTCCTAGCCTCAATCCCCATGTTCCTAACCTCAATCCCCATGTTCCTAGCCTCAATCTCCATGTTCCTAACCTCAATCCCCATGTTCCGAGCCTCAATCCCCATGTTCCTAACCTCAATCCCCATGTTCCTAGCCTCAATCCCCATGTTCCTAACCTCAACCTCCATGTTCCTAACCTCAATCCCTATGTTCCTAACCTCAGTCCCCATGTTCCTAGCCTCAATCCCCATGTTCCTAGCCTCAATCCGCATGTTCCTGGCCTCAATCCCCATGTTCCTAACCTCAATCCCCATGTTCCTAGCCTCAATCCCCATGTTCCTAGCCTCAATCCGCATGTTCCTGGCCTCAATACCCCCGGTTCCTAGCCTAGCTTCTCAATTATTTACACTAGCGACCGTGCTACACTACTGTCCTCATGGGCCCTCCTATCACACCTATCCCTGAAGACAGAGAATACACTCTGTGTATATACATAGTATAATATATAAGGATCTGAGTATTGTTGATGACCCACACGCTCGTGATAGGCTTTAACCTAAGACATTAACAACCCTATTCTCGGTTAGAAGGAAAGATTATGGTAGGACTTGCTAACTATCCTTCTGTTATTATTATTGAATTCATGGGGAAGCCTAAATCCGGTGTCACAGCTCATGGGAGTGAATGGGTGGCAATCAGGTGTCCAGGAAAGTGAAGATAGGTTCCTCCACCCATCCTCCGAGCACTTGAGTGGTCGATACATTTCTAAGTTAGGTTAGGTTAGGCAATGAAGTCTGGGGAGTAAAACAGAGAACGGGCACCCACTGCATTTACTCCGAGAACAACAGTCAAGACTCTACTGTAGAAGGCTGTTCACCGGCATCTAGGTACCTCCCTACAGAAGTCCATACTTCATGACCCAGTAGTAGCACTTACAACGAAACGTTTCCTTAATAAATGTCTTAATTAGTGCACACGTGTGTTTTACCTTGCCTTGTTGCGCGTGTGGCTAGTGTGCGTGTTCAGCTTCCATGACCTTGTTCCCCCAACTGTCTACGAGAGACATTACGTAATTATAACTATCCACTTGTTGCTACACCAGCAGTGAACTACTTTTCTCTCATTAACATCAGACGGTTAATAAGGCAAAAATAACTAAGCAGTATGACTTATTTCACTTTTTTTTTACGTTCTTGCGCAAGATGAGGGCGAAGTAGCTGACTAACTTTTAGTCATACGTTTAGTTCTAGTTGAAGAGTAGCAAGTGGTGGGAGAGTTAGTTTATTTAGGCATAGATCCACATAAGTACAATCATCATACATAGTAACATAGAAGACAACCACTCGGAAAAAATAGTGAACTTCTAAACGATTTCGTGATTTCTCACATTATCACAGTTCCTTGATAATGTGAGAAATCACGAAAGCGCTTGGAAGTTCACTGTTTTTTTCACATTAGCTGTTTTGCATATTGTGTTATCACTTGTTTACTGTGATCTTACTGCATCACATAGTAATATACGTCAAAATTACCTCGGATAACCCAAAAAAGTCAAAGTAACTCTTGGGTTGTGTAGCAGAGATAAGCTTGTGGCGACTCATCTTCAGCTCGTGGCTTGGTTGGTAGCGTCCTCACCTCACACAGTGAGGGGTCCGGGATCGATCTCCGGCACAGGTGAGAACGCTGGGCATGTTTCCTTACACCTGCTGCCTCTGCTCACCTAGCAGTAAGTAGGTACCTAGGTGTTTGCCGATTGTTGCTGGTGGCATCCTGGAGGACAAGATTAACCTAAATTACCTGACCTAAATTAAATAACCAGGGGCTTTTTATATAGTATATCACTGATGTCAGCTATGGTCTGTATAAGTCGTATCATGTACTGGTAGATATAAAGATTATAATAATAATTATTATTATTATTAGAGTAATTAGCTGGTCCATATTTTCTTGAATTGTAATAATGACCTATTATTATATTGATGGTGCTAAAAAAACAATATTTTCTTATTCTTTTATTGTCAGACATGTCATCACGTCTCTAGAGCGCAAATTAATCATTAAACACATTGTTAGTGTTTTCAGTCTTTATTGCCTCGTGTTTTTATTATCGTAGTGAGGAGAGCAATACCGTAAGTCACACACCGGTCTGGATGTGGAAGGTGTCTCGTCTGAGAAAGTGGTAAGGACACGGTCAATCAGTTCCTTAGAGGAAGGTTACCCCCCCCGTCTGCCATCCTGGAAGGGTCATTCCTAGTCGCTCAGTTTTCCTCTGGAAGTTTTGTATAGTATTTGGATTTTTTTACGTTGTCCTCACCTTCTCAAAGTGTAACCACACATACACACTTACTAGAGAATGGAAAAAGTATAGAAGACAAAGGACCCAGGAAAATAAGATCAGTCGAAAAGCCAGAAACTAATATGCACAGATAAGGAGGGAGGCCCAGCAGCAATACAAGAATGACATAGCATCAAAAGACAAGTCTGACCCGAAGCTGTTGTACAGTCACATCAGGAGGATGTTCCAGAGAGAGGACACAGCAACAAGGGGACACAATCGGAAATTGAAGACTCAGATGAGTCAGAGATGTTAGGATGTATTTCTTCAGTCCTATAATTGCCAAGAAGTGGAATAGTCTGGAGAGTAATGTAGTGGAGACAGGATCACACACAGCTTTAAGAAGAGGTATGATAAAGCTCGTGGAGCAGTGAGAGTGGACCTAGTAGCGATCAGTGAAGAGGCGGGGCCAGGAGCTATGACTCCACCCCTGGAACCACAATTAGGTGAGTACAACACACACAAAGTACACACACACCACCACACAAAAACCCACACACAACAACACACAAACACCCACCCACACACACACAACACAAACACACAAAACAAAAACACACAAAACACACACACACCACACACACACACACACACACACACCACACCACACAAAACCAAAACCACACACACAAACCCAAAACCCAAAAAAACACACACACACACACACACAACCACAAAACCCCAACAAACCCAAAAAACACAACCACCCACAAACCCCCAACCACCACCCACAAAACCACAACCCACCCCACAACAAACACCCACCCAAACCACCAAACCAAAACAAAAACCACCACCCCCCCCCCACAACCCAACACAACCACCAACCACCCACAAAAAAAACCAAAAAAATAAACCCCCACAAAAAACCCCAAACCTCCCACAAAACAACAAAAACACAACAAAAAAAACAAAAAAAAAAAAAAATAACACAAACAAAAACAACCCCACCAACCCCATCACAACACAAAAAAAACCCAACCCACAACACCCCAACAAACCTCACCCACCCACCATACCAACACCACCACACCCCACACCAAAACCCACACCTAACACAACCCACACAAACACCACACCCCAATCCCAACACAAATAAATTTTACAAACCAAATACAATCCCAAAACCCAAAAAAAAAAACCCTAAAAACACCATAAAACACACATACACACACAC